TATTGGAATACGAACCGTGAATTTTTCGTTACTGGGCAAAGATCCAATTGCTTCACATAATAATAAAGCAGCAGATGACGATAAAAATACAACCAGAATTATGATTATCATAGATCTTAATAAATATAAAAAATAAAAAAAAATAATATATATATGTAATATTAATTTTTTTTTTTATTATAATAATTTATATTTGAATTGAACTTACGTTATCCATCCTGAAGTTTGGAATAATAAGGGTACTATATATCAAATTTTTACATCGTATTGATATGTGTCTTAACACGAGATTCAAAAATGTACATATTCACATGATATATAATTCTGTACATAAACTTACCTGTCACCAACCCTGGCCCTGTCATCGAAGAAACCAGTAACGAAACACCGCTAAGGTATCCAATTTTGGATGGTTTTTCCATTTCCTTTTTTTTTTTATAATAGAAATTTTAACCTGGCGAAAGTTTTGTTTGATCCAATTATATTTGGAGCAATTCACGAAAAATACAACTATTTTAGCATTTATTTATATAATATTAAATTATTAAATATTAAATATCTTCGTTAATTTTTATAATATTAAACTTTTTTTTTTAACGTTAATTAAAATAATCTTTTTCGTTTTCCGAATCAATCATGGCAGTGAAACCAAATGTTCTATTTCTAAATCTAAAAAAAAAAAGAAATATCATCTATTTTATATGTGTATGACAATTGATTTTTATTTTTCGTTTTTGATCATGGCTTTTCTTGCTGGCTCCTATAATAGAAATGCCCTGCAAATATTTAGATTTATTTAACTTAGCCTCCTAAAATTCTCTGGAAAAATTGAACTATATCGATATAGTATATAAAGACTCAAATTTGTAATTTGGAATAACTTCATTATACTTTAAGATAAGCAAGAAATGATTTTATTAATTATATCATCCCACTAGTTTAATATAAAAGATAAAGTGTGATGGTTACCTCTTTCACTTTTTATTATTTATTGCTTGCTCGTGAAACAGCTATGTTTTGCTCGTGAACGGTTATGTTTGGATACAGATGGCTAGGTTTTGTGGCTATGACGATTTATGAAAACAATGTCACCAAATTTCGTAAAATATTAGGATATGGATAAGACGCATATTATCTGTTATTTCAATTTTTAAAAAAACTTTATTGGTGAATTATATTAGGTCTTCTGAATTATATCCGCAAGCCACGCGAGCTAATAACAAAATCTTGTGTCTCAGTTATGATATTTGCTTCAGGTGGTAGCCGACGAAATAACATATTTCAGATGTTTGTTTTTGCAAAACTGTTCTAACCCTAGCTCTAATTTTGGTCAATTAATCGATTTGAATCACAACATTCAATCTTTATTCTTTTATTAATATAGCAATAAGATAGTGAATACATAAACATCGTAATTAGGAGATAATTGATCCAAAACTGTATGACATCCAATTGAACGTCACACACGCGTAAATGATTAATTTTTCGTTGTTCACCTGATCTAGCAATTTTATTGGCCATTACACGCGTTCGGGCAGGTGGTATGTTTGAAGCGTAATTAATTTAAAAAATCGAGTTTCACATATTATCATGACCAAAATTTCACCTCGATAGGTAAGGGATTATTATTATTATTTCCTTGATATAGAAATTGTACTGAAGCGTGAGAATATAGTATCTTCTAAGGCTCGAACAAACGGAACTTTTACAAATCAAAATCAAAAGACAATTTTTAAAACAAATACTAGAATTATAATTGTAAAGATAATTTATTCTGGAGCTGTCCATCTATAGATGTAGTCAGTTACAAATAAAGAACATTAGCGTAAAAGCGACAGAATACATACATTCTACGATATTATTATACGGAATCAAATTGGGATCCTCGCACTACTTAGACGAACGGACCACACAAAAATAGAATAGAAAAGAGAAACAGAGATTTTAATTGAGAATTACTACAAAAATAAAATAAAATTCAGCCGGCTAATCACAATGATAATTTTACCAAATATGATACGTAATTATTGTGAATTATAAAAAGTGAGCCAATTTAATTTATTAAAAATTCATCGTATGAAATTAGTGATGCACAGGGAAAACTTGTAAGTAAAAAATATCATTATCACTAATATAATATATATATATATAATGATAACTTTAATTATACTTACAAATTTTCCCTTGCATCACTCAAATGTGGATTATAAATTTTAGTCAGATTAACTCTTAACTCTCTTGGCTAATTTATTTGATTTCTGACTCTAATTTATTAAATGAGATGCATAAGAACTGATGCAGCTCACTTCACCGACATTCATTTTACCAAAGTTCATTCAACCGACATAGAGTTAGGTTAACATTTGGTTAGTTGTAGGTATATATTTTTAGTAAATTGTCACTTGACGTGATGTCAGTTAAATGAGTTGTCAGTGAAACGATATCGGTGAAGTAAGGCAGATCCCTTGAGAAAAACTTTTCACATAATCGTACTAGTCCTGCATAGCATAGCATACTGCGCAGCTATTTTTATTTCAACAGTTGAATTAATTTCAACAGTCGAATTAATTTTAGCTGCTTAAAAATGATTTCTACTGTTGAAAATATTCTAAAATTACAGAATTAAAAACCATCTATACGGCATGTACGTACGTACGTACGTTTCCATTTTTTATTACATATCAATTTATAGTTATTTTTATCAAAATTAATTGGTCAATTAACATATCGATATTAGTCTGCCTAGCGGACTCCTAATTAGGTAAAAAGAGAATCCCATAATTACTCTTATTTCCTTTTCAGTCATTAGTTTTTTTTTTTTTATCCTCGTGAACAAAAAAGAGAACAATAAAGTTCGGGATCGGTTTGTTTTATAAGATATCGGTTCACGCGTTCCCGTTCTCTAGACTATTGTTGGTTTTATCGATATTTTAAAGGATTCTTTTATTAATTTATAGAATTTTTTTATTAAAAATAAGGCCATACAATACAATTTTAATTTGAAAATTCAAGCCAATCGTTATATATTCGAATAGAAAATCAGTAAGCTCTAGGTCCAAGTTGTCTGTCTATATACTGTAAGTTAGTTGGTTGCAAAAGCTGCTTAGCATTATACTTAAACTTTAATACAGTTGAATCACCTAAAACCGATCTTGTCAAATCTGATAAAAATTAATCTACCAAGTCTGTTTCTGCTATATGAATCTATATAATAGATTATAATGATTTCAATTCCGATAACTTTCCAATACTGATATCGAATCCGGGAGGTTCCAACTGTATTGCCTTTAAAAACATATAATATTTATATAATATAAATTAAAATTTTTTGATTTGTATTAGTACTGTAAAAACCTCAATTTTAATTTCGAACAGAGTTCAGATAAGTAGGTTCATCTCTCCACTTTAAATTTATATAACTTCCGAAAGAGCAATTATATAAAATCAGTCTTTTACAAAATTAAGGAAAAAGACATCATTAAAGGGGATGTTAAAAGGAATCTAGTCCAATGATCGACAAAAAAATACTGTGCGGCTCCCACTTAATTGTTCTAAAATGCTTTTTGAATTTTATATATTTCAAGTGATAATTAAGATAGAAGATATATAATTCTAAATTTTAATTGGTTAAAAAAAAAAAAAAAAGTAGATAGAGTTAGTTTAAAATCAGAACATATGAATCATAAAATTCTATTAACTTTCTAGTGTTTCAAGATAGTCTGCCGGTCAATCTGATTTCTATTTTGACACAAATAATGCGTGCAAAATTGTGTTCATAAAAAAAAAAAGAAAAAATATGAACGCTTCCCTTTTTAGAAGTATAATTCGTGTCTTATTTCACTTTTTTTCTTCGATTTGCTAATATTATTTATCGCTATATAATGCTATTTTATTATATTAGTCATCTAAGCATAAAGGATGTTTTATGTTTAAAAAAGGCATTCGAATAGTTTTTTTTTTAAACATCATGTCTGAAGAAACTTGTAGTGACTCGAAAAATAATTTGAATTCAAATTTCACTATGAATGAATACGAAGATTCAAACTATATAAGTGATGATAACATTATCAATAATAGTTATATTTTTGATGATGAAGACACAAATCTTAACGATGGTGATAACGATAATTCAAATGATAACAACAATTCAAATGATAATGACAATCCAAATAGTAATGATAGTTCGAATGATAATGATAATTTTGTCAATAGTAAGAATAATTCTTTAAGAAAAGCTGGGCAACGTATATCTGCTGTTTGGAAGTTTTTTTATGAGGAGAAAGATGATAATAACAAGGTAGTCACGATAGTTTGTGATCTTTGCAAAAAAAAATGGCAACCAGGTAATACAACTGGAACGCTAGCTACTCACCTTAATAACAAGCACTATAGTAGTATTTTTCTAAAGCAACAAACACTTTTACATTTATTACAAAACCTTATACAACAAAAAATACCCAACGAGTAACAGAAATCAATAAAAAAGTTACAGATTTTATTATATGCTGTCAATTACTTTTCTTTATAGTGGATAATCAATATTTCAAAAAGTTACTTGGTGTTCTTGATCCGCGTTATCGTGGTTTTTGTAGACAATTATTACACAATGAGATAATAAATTGCTTTGAAAATGCACATGAAAAAATCATAGAATTACTCAAAAACATTGATTCAATGGTTTTGATTATGTGTAATATATAGATATCCATATTTTTTCAAGCATATTTAGGTATCATCATACACTATATTGATAAGAATTGGAAGGTATATAATTTTTTTTTTAGATTTAGTACATTACTCTGATTATCATTATAGTGTAGTTACTAAAGATTTGCTTGCAATATTGTTTAATAAAACAAAAACAGAAATTATATCAAAGGTTGTCAGGTTTACAACCAATAATAATGCAGGCATGATCGTTGCAGGAGTGAACTGCAAATGGATCTTTTTTTAGCAGGAAATAGAGAATTTATACATCACAGGTATGCAGTTCATATCTTGAATATTATAGTAAAACACAGCATATAATTTAAACCTGAGATTATCGAGAAGGTTAGGAACTTCATAAAAAAAATATGCTATTTACAACTATTTTGCAATATATTACGAAAAATTTGTGCTATATATAAAGTTGACTTTTTAAAACCAGTGCTTGATGTTGATACATGCTGGAATAGCATATTTCTAATACTACAAAAATTTAATAGAATGAGAAAAATTTTAGATTACTTAGTTTTGAGAAACAAAAAACAACTTGAAAGCTTGTGGCTTGATGAAAATGAATGGGATTAGGTGGATAGAATTTTAAAGCTTCTTGAACCAGTATACAAAGCAATACTACTATTGTCTCTTAGTTTTTATCTAGCTATTAGCAATAATCGGGTTGTATTTATTGGGCTTCAATATCACTTTAACCAGTATC